CCTGTTTAGGACTGTGTAAGGACCGTCCCAAGGCGACTGTAGTAAGAGATAGTTCTTCCCATCGAATCGAATTCCTTAACCACACCTTGTCACCTTCATTGAGGTGTCCTGTAGCTCTTGTGTCTTACTGGGTTTTCATCTTCTCCATTGCCAAGTTGATTCGCTTTTGCACAAAATTGTGCATCACCTCAAACCGTGCCTGGAAATCTTGGATGTACTTCTCAGGTGATTAAGGCACGACCAAACAAGAGATCACAAAGAAGACGAAGGTCACGACCAAAGAGCATCTGGGATGGGAAGCAGCCGGTAGTCTCGTGGACAGCACTACAATAGACCAGTAAAAACAGAGATAATTTCTTGTAGGCTTTGTAGGAAAGTCCCAGTCCTGTTAGTTTCTGGAAACCATCAGCAAGAGGTTGTTAAAGATGGTTTGATTAAACCTCTCTACCATGCTGTCTGATAGAGGATGTAAATAAATCGTTTGGGTTTAGTCGATGCCGAGTAGCTTACAGAGTTTCAGAGTTTTTTTAATTACAGCCAAGGTAAAATTTCTTCTTTGAAATGAATGTAACTGAGGAGGCACTGCGAATCTGGAAATCCAATGCTATATTATTACCTCTGCTACCGTGACTTGGAAACCATTGCATTATCACACATAGTACGTCACTGGAAACTATTGTATTGGATCAGCTAAATTTATTAGATATAAATCTGCTGAAGATTAAAGCTATGATAAGGAAGCAAACATGTTTAATCTCTATAAAGGTCTGCAAGCCATAAAATTTACAATATAATAAAACAATTTATTTGGCTTTGTGCAACAAATTTATTTAGTTGGAAATACCGTTGTACCGTTATTATTTGGAAGTTACATTAATTTTTTTTCTTCAAAGTTTAGTAAAAAGAATCATAGATTGTTCCTCCCTCCGCCTAGCCTACTAGCCGTTGGAACGTTCTGGAATCTAAATTTGTCAAAAATTAGATAAAAGTGATAATAAAGATGAGATAAAATTGATAAGTAGATGGTTATACCGAGCAGATGCAATACAATCAATCTGAAATAAAGTAAATGTAGTAAAACACAGAGTGCCTTGGGCTTAACTGGCGGGGGCGGGATAAGAAAATTAAAGTTTGTTCCGTTGGACTGTTACTTGGGGCAAAATACTGACAAGGAGGAATGTATACCGCATATGCATACAAGACCCTAGTAATAATTTGACGACGTGTATAAGTTTGTTGCAGAGTTTATCGCTATGCATAAGTGATTTAATGGATAAATATAAAGAAATTGAAAATCATGTATTAGCAATATCCGCAATAAAATTCTACTCTAATAATAGAGAAAGATCTAGAAAACGGAAAGGATTTTTTGACGAAAACACGCAGATAAAGAAATCCAGACAGATAAAGTGTTAGAACAAATAAATTTTATGTTACACTTGATAAAATATTCAGAAAATTTAACAAAAAGTATTAAGAACTTAACAAACTATTTCGAGTAACTTTTACAGAATTTGAAAAAAAAAAAGAAAAAAAAAAAAAAAAAAAAAAAAAAAAAAGAATATACTGGATTATATAAATAAAATCTAAAAAATGCACTTTAAATGACAATAATCTTTCTCTGTTTTAAAACGAGTTAAAAATTATTCAAGAAATTCAATATAAGACAAGAAAAGTTCACGTTCTTAACAATGCTTGCCATAGAAGAAAAGGCTTTTTAAGAGCTATATTATGAAAATATTATTTTATCAGTTTCCTCAAATGAAAATTTTAAAATATTTAAAGGTATAAATGATTATAATTATGTACATTTTTATATATTTTTCATTACAGTAAGACCCCGCTTAACGCGGAGGATACGTTCCATCGAAGTAGAGCGTAATGCGAAACAGCGCTAAGCGAGGCTATCTTAACATGTAAATAATGGGGTTAGGGGAAGACGGATAAAAAATGGTTAGGCATTAAATTTAATACTGTTTTTTTAATAAAAATAAAATCAAACATTTATTTCTTACAAAAATAAAAACAATGTAAACGCATATACTTTTAAAAACAAATAAAATTCTCAGTCAGATCATTCAGTCTATTCTGGGTTTCCAATTTTCTGCCTTTTGTTAAGGAGGCATTATGATAGATTGGCTTAATGGCATATTGCGTTCAAGTTTCGTCGTCAATCCATATACAAAAGTCATTTTCTCCTTTTCCTCTATAATGTATTATTTCTAGAAAGGGTAATTTTAGTTGCAGAGCTTGACGTAGTTGCAGTTGCCGATGACAGTAATTTTTCTTTATTCTTAAAGAATTAGTCCGTTATTGTTGATGTTGCCAAATTCAATGCAGCACCAATTGTGAGATTGACGTTCACCAGAATCTAACCTTCTAATCACTTGCATTTGAGTTTCCAGTGAAATGCTTTTTCTGGTTGCTTTCTTTTCTTGTTTTTTATTATCAGCCATGATAAAAACTAAAGATCATAATATTTGTCACTGTATTAATCGTTATAGTATTATACAAATTTAAACTTACAATAATGTCAACAAATGTTTCAAATGATAAAAAGCAAGAAACACAACTACACTGTTTCGGATGTGTTATTTGGAAACCTAGCGCTGCGCACAATTTCGGAGAATCCACGGGTTGAAATAAAAGAGCGCTAAACCGAAACAGCGCTAAACGAAACAGCGTTAAGCGGGGTCTTACTGTATTTATATTACACAATTATTATTGCTTTAGTGTTAATATTCTCTATTGTGACATTATTTAAGATTTATTTAGAAACAACTTATTTGATATGGGGCTATAAATTAAATTTTGTACAGGTCGATTCCTAGGGGCTTAATCCGGCACTGTTTAGATGGCTGTCTGAAAGACAATTTGCTATACGTTTTAGGCCTGCTAAAGGTTGTATAGATTACGTTAATTTTATTAACAGTTAAATTTTGAGTTAAACTTCCTTTCCTATCGATTCTTAATTTCAACTTACCACTTTCGGCCAGAACGTAGTTTTAGAATCACGTCTGAATGCTAATGAGGAAGAACGGTATATAACCGCGAAGTTCTACAGTCTTAGTGAGAGAGATACCAGATATTCTGGCTGCACGCGTCCGCCTTTTTAGGCTACTCTCTCGTAAGCTATTATTACTCTCGGCCGTATTTTAGGCCCTTGATAGCTTCGCAGTCAATTAACGTTAAGGGACCAACTCTGTTAGAATTTTGATAGCTTCGGCTATATCTCTTTAGTTAAGATTAGTTTAGTTTAATTCTTAGTTTCTTAAGTTCAAGCTCAAGTGTCGGCTTTATTGTACAACTCCAAGACGGAGTTCTGTTAAACTTTAGTTGGAATAATAAAGGGTTATTTCACCTTTCTTACTTGTTGTTTTCTACCTCATGAATTCAAGCGATTATTCGTTTACTAGTTCTTAAGATTCTTCACTTTCAACTGTAACTTAGAAATACACAGTGGAGAATCCTAAAAGGTAATATTTTCGAGAAATAGCAAATTGAGTTTTGTAACATCCCGCAAAGAGCGGTGATTTTGTTAATTTTTTGTTTGCGCCTATAAACCGTAGTGGAAATAAACTTTTCATTTAGTCTTTAGTTGTATCCTGTACTCATTAGAATTCTAGGTTTAAGTTAGAGAACAATAAGTTGTTTATAGTATAGGAAAGTTAAACCAGTATTAAATTAAATTGTCAATTAGATTTAATGGTACAAAGCAGCAGATGATATTTTTTGATTTCGACTGAAAGTTTCTGGTATTTTTGGGTACATAAACAAACATCGATGCCTAACATTAGGTACCATATTTACCCGCGTAATAGTCGCCCTTTTCTCCCCAATTTTTTATTGTGAAAGTCTAGGTGCGACTATTATGCGGAGAAATCTGCTACACAATATTGTACACTTTTGACGATTTTTTCTCCTTCAAAAGGGGCTGCGACTGTTACGCAAGGGCAACTATTACGCGAGTAAACACAGTACCTTAGACAAACATCTCCATGGAAGACCACAATCCTCTGAAATATAGACGATCGTTTCAGAGCAGGTTTATTGAATATTCTTATGCATGTAAATATAGTTAATCATATGATTATTCAAGAAAGTCTGAAAGTTAAAATAGAATTAAAGTAAATCTGGTTTATATATGAGTGTATGTTCCCATATCCCGGTTCGTTGCACATTAAAATGACCTCGTTTAACACTGTTTCGTTTAGCCCCCCCCCTTTTTTTTTTTTTTCTAAGAGACTTAATCTGGAGAATTTTATCCCGAGCCTTTCAGAAGTTGCATAAAAACACTACATCATAGAGATGTTACCGTGAAAGACCGAAATTGGAGAATGTCGACTTTCAGCGGAGAATGTCAACTTTCATCAAATACGTCGGTGAAAGATCGAATAGTTCTTTACATTCGTGTACATTCGGACCCTCACCGGTGTATGTCGACAATCACAGATATGCTCTGGTGTAGGTCGAAAAGAGAGGAGTATATGTACACGCTGCCAAGTGTTCCACAAAGAAATGCAGTTGTAAAAGCAAGGGCCTCTTGTGCAATTCAAAGTGTCCTAATAGTTTAAGATGTTGCAATAAATAAGATTTGAATCACATAATTTGGTAAGTTTATAACTTCTATTATTTTCCTTTCTCATTTTGAATGTACTGTGTGTTTTAAGTTCTTATATTCTTAAGTTCTTATTCTGAGTTTCAAGTGCGTTTTTTCGCGAATGAATTACGGAGAAGGAAATATAATATTGTTATATGTTCAACATTCACCTTTAGTACATGGTGAATGTCGACATTCACCGGTGTAAGTCAGAAATAAGAGTATTTGGAAAATATTTCGGACATAACACCAAGCGACTATGTGAATGTTGACATTCACCGGTGACATTCTCCAGATTTCGGTGTTTCACCGTAACAGAGACATATAATTGGATTTCACATTATTTATGATTTAAAGAAAATTCGAGGTCACAAACACTTTTAAATAACCAGTTCACATCTTTACGTAGTATCTTATTATTCTTTTTTTTATTTTTAAGACATCTTTTTACCTTAATATGCTAAAACTGAAATGGAAAAGCGCCAGCTCATATTCGATATCGAATTTACAATGAACAGTTTTATGGCAAGCCCTAATAATATTTGCAGTAACAGATTGTAGTCTCTTTGTACACTGTTATTATGTAATTATAATTTATGTCCATACGGAATTGGGTAGGTAATGTTCCTTTACTGATAATGTAGGTTTCAACTTTTCCTCGCAGAGAAAGAGCATGGGAAATGCAACGAGATGTCCACGGATTTTCTTTGCTTTCTCTCTTGCTGCAACAGCGTTCAGATTGGCTAAAGAGGCTTTTGCCTGGTATTCCCTGAGCTGGTGGAAGTTACGTACTGTGTCCGTGGGAATACACTGAAATACCTAGGAAGAAATAAATGGAATTATTAAAGAAATACGAGTACTATAGCAGCTCAAATTTTCTTGGAGACAATTTTTTGATGACGGAACATTTCCAGTTAGATTCTAGAAACCACCATCTGTTTCTTATCTCTGCTTTGTGCATAAAAGGGATATCCTTATTTATATATTGGTATGCGCCTAGATTACGTAGGGAGACCTCTTGACTGTATTGCTTCTCAAGTGCATTTGAGATGAAGATTTTACTTTGTTTTTATTGTCTTTCTTATACTATTTCTTTTTCCTTTCTCATAAGAGAGCAGAAAATTAACACTTTATATGTGAAGCTTTCCCAAACAAAGGATTCAGTTAATTACCCTAGAAAACGCCAACAGTAGCAGTCTAGGCAATATCAGTCAGTATCAAAGTATCAGTACGTCAGTTTCGTTCGCTAATTTTCCTTCTCTTTTAGCAATTAAGCCTTTAATGAGAAAAGCAAGTAAGGTTTACAAAATCCACCGTAGACGGAGAAAGAAGCTGCAGCTATCTTTAGTTTAGCATCCGCTCTGCAAAGAAGATATGTATGATATTTTATCTTTTATAAGCTACATTGCTGTTCATTTCCTCCCCTCTGATGCATACGTTTGATGATTCTTGACGAAAAAAAAAAAAAATTGTCGCTCCCCCCCAAAAAAACCTGAATCGAGATAAAACAAAATTGAAATTTTAGGGATAAAATATAATAATAACATTCTGGGCCACGAATCCCGTGTTCCAACTTCTTTTCAGTGTGTTCGACCATCTTTAAGTGTGTTCCAACGATCAGCTTCTTTTCTCGCTTTCTTAATTTAGAGAAATGTTCTCTTTTCGAGGGGATGTATAACAAAGTAAAGATGCACAGCTTCGTTTCCTGATACTAAGAAGATACCGTTTCCTTCTTTCTTTTTAATTACTGGTTTTATAAAAATTTGTTTTCTTGGTGTAAGATTTGTCCATCGTGTTTTATGTAAATGTCTTTAGGGAATCTTGTAGCATTCTTTGCTCAACTTAGTATTTCGCATTGGAACACAATTCACGCTGTTTATTCATGGATACCTAGAATAACTCAAAAGAAAATTAAGAATGGATAGGATTTGCTTAGGTACAAAATAGAACTCCAAATATTATATATAGGACTTCGAGGGCGATCGAACATAGTTTCTCTTCTTCAAGAAAAAAAGGACAAAATTCTTACAAAAGTCGGAGAAGCATCAACAACGTTGTAGGGAAATCAATAGAGGGGACGGAACAAAGAGAAAATTAACATAACACTCCCTACCTAGAAAAATAATTATTTTGGTATATATCTTTTCTAGTTATATTCTGATTGACTTAGTTATACCCACTCAGGTATTTAAAAAATATAGATGAATTTAATGTCTACTTTCTGTCAGCTACATAAGTATTCTTGTAATGCTAGCGAGGGAACTTTATTTCCAAGTACCAATTTAGAGATTAATTAAGATTACCATACTGTATTTTAGTTTTGAGAAAATACACTGACTACCAATAAGTATTTGGACACCCTGTGATAGAAAAGAAAAACTAACTTAATTCAAAATCAATAGTTGGTAGAGCCTCCACGAGAGGTATTTACAGCGTGGACCCTCCGGGGCATACTTTCCACAAGTCTTTGTATGACAGCTAGTGGTATTTCTTCCACTCGGCTTGGAGAAGACATAGAAGTTCCTTCACCGATTTTGCACGGGTAGTGCACCCCTGAATTCGGCGATGCAACTCGTCCCAGAGGTTCTCGATAGGGTTCAGGTCTGGACTCTGGGCAGGCCAGTCCATTCGATGAACTCCATTGGCAGCATACCAAGCCTTGGTTAACGTCGAAACATGACAACTGGCATTGTCGTCCTGAAAGTAACATGGGTCCAACCCGTAAAACTGCCACAACGTAGAAGCACATTGTCATCCAAAATAGTGCAGTAGGCATCGGAGTGGAGCTTACCATGAATGGGGACCAAGGGTCCCAGCCCATACCAGGAGAAACACCCCCAGACCATAATTCCACCTCCGCCGAACTTGACTGTTGGCACAATACATTCTGGCAGGAGACGTTCTCCAGGTAGACGCCAGACCCAGACCCTGCCATCCGAACGATAAAGGGTGAACCTTGATTCGTCACTCCAAAGAACCCGTTTCCACTGATCTACGGTCCAATTTCGATGTGCTTTGCACCACATTAACCGGGCAGCGCGGTTGGACTTTGTGATCAAAGGCTTATGGGCAGCAGCACGACCATGAAAACCAAGCAGATGTGTTTCCTTACGGATGGTATTCATTGAAACAGTACTCCTAGATGCCTGTTGAAACTCTTCGCGGATGAGGGCCATCGGTTGGGTGCGGTGTTCCGAATTTCTCTGGACAGCACTCGTCGGTCTCTATCTCCCAGTTTCGTTGGTCTGCCGATTCGGGGCACATTCCGACAATCCCCGCTCACCTTCCCTTCTTAATCCAAGGTCACTGTCGATTTTTGTACTTCAGATCGCTAGATATGTCCCTTAAATCGGCCACATTTGTGATAACCCGATAATTATACCTTTCACGAAATCAGAGAGCTCCGAGGCGAGGCATCTTGCATGCGACTAAAGCGATGCTGTTTCCTACACGATATATACCGGCGGAGTCCGTGGCGTACCTTGGGACCGTAGATATCGTCATTTGCATAGGTGTCCAAATACTTATTGGTAGTCAGTGTATGTGGCAATGCTCTCGGCGACGAGGAAATTTCTCAAAATGTTCTCCCGGGCCGTGTGAAATTGCTTAGAGGACTTGATTCGCCTTACAAACTTTCAGTTTGAAATCACTGTTCTAAGGAGTTTATTCTCTCTCTGAGTTCTGTTATTATCTCTAAATTTATCCTCCGAGTAATGCAAGTGGATGTCACTCTAGTCACTCACTTTTGTAAGATCCATGTTTCGAAACTCGGAGACAATACAGATGATTTACCGCATTTCCTGGTTCCAAAAAACTAATTATCTCCCCAAGGTGAACCTAGATCCATGTCAATTCTGATATCTTTCTAAGAAAGTCAGTAAACTTAGGTCAATGAGCGACATTCAATAAGGTGGTAACTGGCACTTTATTTTTGTTGCAAAAATACGAAAATCATTATTGTCTTTTAGAATCTGCGGTTCACCCTTTAACTTCTTGTATAAAATTTAATTTGAAATAATATTTCCTCTTATCGAGTGATACAAGTTGCATTAAAAAATTAGATGTAGCTTCTAATGGGATTTCTGGCATCTTTACAAAAATACTGATAAATTTTCTAAAATATTTTTATGGTTATTCTTTCGAGTTTTAAACAAGGACATTCTTTGGATTATCTTTGGATGTAATTTTTTCCATAAAAAAATACTACTCGATGAAAATACACGTAAACATATGATCTGCTAACCTCTTCGTAAATATCGGCATTTTCAGTAGCCGTTTTTTGCCAAATTTCTCTGTAGAAGCGATCACTGGCTGGATCTCTAATGTCGACAAGGAACTCAGAGCTTTGCATAAGTCCCAAGTGTTCCCTAAAGCCAAAATGAAGAAATTGTATCTTAATCAACAGTAAGTAGTATAGTAATTAACAGTATTTCACTCGCAGAATAAATTGTTTCCATTTATTTATTTTTAAGTAATACGACACAGCATAATTTCGATTCTTAAGTTCTTAGACTTGTCGATTGCTTTGGGACAGCCTCGTTAAAATAAATCCACTTACCTTAACGAGGTCCAAATAAATAAATGAATAGATAAAATAAAACAATTTGGTTATAAATAGAAAATAAACACTTTTGACTTTTCTATGTGAGTGTATATTTTCCAATCATTTCCAATAAAATTAGAGATATTATACCATTGTAATAATACCCACTTTTGTGAGTGATTCCTATTTTAAATATTGCCCGTTTTGGTGTTACCCTTATTATTGAAATACTCAACCACGAATGTCGACCATAACCTTATGTAGACTATCTTCAGGAAATTATTGAAGTTATGCTAAATTCGCTGCCTGAACACCTCAAGAGAATTGATTAGAAAAGATTTAACGCACGTGCATTGTAAAGGATTAGTCATGGCTCTGGACAACACATTTGTCACCACATTTCACCGTGCTGCCCTCGGAATTGTTCATTGCAAGAATTAAAAAAATTCAGAAGAATGTTAGTGCAATGAATTGGTCAAATTACTGATGCATCCACAGTTTTTATGTCTATTTTCAAAAGCATTCGGTTTAACAGTATATAAGTATTTCTCCCGCCTTTCTAGCGTGCCTTCGTGGTGTAGTGGTTCTGCACGTTGGGCCGGTATTCCAGAGGTCCGTGCTTCGATTTTCGGCGAAGGCGTTTGCTAATTTTTTCCTCTTGCCTGCTTCCAAAAATACCTAATGTCTCTACAAGTAATAAAAGAGGTAATATCCACCAAATTATAACTTTAGCTTCATTAACTGGCATTACAACTTCGTAAAGCAAATCCTGATAAATTTTGGAGGAATTATCACGTGAATAATATTGGAATTATAAATGCATCAGTTTTAAAAGGAAAGATTTTTAAAGATTCAGCTTTAAAATTTTACACTTTTTTCATATTGCTTTAATATCTGCTGTAGATACTTTTTACACAGGATTGCTACAGATGATTCAATAGGTTTTGAAGTTCTATGATGTAATGTGTAAATGAAACAGTTCTGGGCGGCCGAGCGTTTTGAACGAAAATGTGAAGAAAGCTAGTGAAAGTTTCGGACATAGCTGACGAAAATCAACAGACTGTTTTAGCCAAGATTTTGATAATCCGGAATCGGCCATTTGGGAAATTCTGCAATGGCGATTAACAACTGAAACCCAACATATTGAGATTTGGAAACACTTAGAACCGAACGATTTTAAGCGATAAAAGTTTTATAGTCGGATGTAAGACACGTTGAAAGAGGAAGATTTAGCTCTGTATGCAGTGACGAAACGATGCTTCGTTAATGCGGAATGGTAAACATCACAATATCCGAATTTAGGGCATGGGGAATTATCATAGGGTTGCTGAATCGAAGCGGAATTCTCTAAAACTAAATGTCTTCTGCTCCATTTCACAAAGAATGGGCCTTTTTTCCTCTTTTCGAGAACACTTTGATAGGCATATCTTATTTTGAAATGCTTAAATCGTGGTTATTCCTCGAATGACAGATGATTCTAAAATTTCATATTTCAGAAATGTGGTTTTCAGACTCGCAGCCACAGTGAGGGACATCACTAACGATGAGGAATTCGGAGATTATTATATTCATCGACATGGGAAAGATGATTTAGCATTGTTCAGATGGCTTCCAAGATCTCCAACCTTACGACTAGTGATGCTTTCTTTTGAGGTTTTGTAAAAAGCAAAATAATCCCACTGCCCATTGCAAGAGCTTCAGGATCATGTTATAGCTGCTTTGGTGATCATCAGTGAATGTGGATAGAAATGGATTTTAGAGTGGACATGTGTCATGTAAAATATCAAACATTTGTAGTTCTTTGATTAAAATTTCAAAGTTTCTACTTTGTTTATGCAGTACTTATTTCCTGTTTGCAATATTTTATAAAATGCAACATTATGAATCCACATGGGTTATATATAATAACCCTGTGTAATGTCACATCATTCAGTTCACACTATCTCATCTTATGCAAAGAATGGCAAATTTTGTTGTATCACCTGAAAAGTGCAGTTCTAAGTGAGTAGCAGAATCTTCCAGCTTTGTGTGGTCTTCCTTCTTCTTTGTCCAAAAAATGTGTGTCTCGAACCAATACGGCAATCTCTGAATCTCTTCTGCCCAGAAGACTTCGGTCATTTATGTTGGCGGATCCGATAATAGCCACTGTGTCGTCGACGATGATAGTCTTGCTGTGCACGTAGATAAGCTCTGTTACCTGAAATACTGACTGAATCAGACGGAAGATTTTCATCATACCAATTTATTACGAATAGCCATCGCTGATCTTTCGAAGCATGGCTGTCCGCATACTAACATAAATGAAATAAGAAGGAAAACAAATTATCTTTATTTAATTTACTACAGTCTAATTAAAACTGATGTCTTTTTCATACGAAGATATAGATGTTAAAATGGATTTACATGATTTATTTGTATTATGAAACATAGTCATTACGTGAAAATACAAAAAACAAGGTTAAAATGGCATAGATTCTCATCTTAATTTGCAGCTGAATGAAAATAGAATGTAAGGAATAGAGAGTTCAACGAATTCTCGAGAACTTATTAATAGCTAATTAACTATTTGCTTAATTAATTTGCTTACTAGCATGCCGTTAATTTGCTTACTAGCATAAGAGCTCGGTAGTAACTAATTAGTCCCTTACAATTTTCTTTGCATAATTTTCCTTCTCTCTATATTGAAAAGGGCTTCATTATTAACTATTTTTAAGTTCTCGTAAATTCATCGATATATTTTTGTATTTATAAGAATCTTGTCTGAGAAGCTTTTATTTATTTGCAAAGGAAGACGACGATAGCATTTAATCTCTCAAAGCGCTTTAGCTAAAATAAAAATCTGGGTGAATTAACGTTGATTTCATTGCACTCATTTTTACTTGGCGTCATTCTTTGCCAAAGTCCTTATCTTGATCCTCGCCAGTTGCCGTAAAATATGGTTTAGTATTTATCAATAATCACAGTTTTAATGTATTTATTTTATCTGCAGGATGGATTAATGTCTTATTTGCAAAAAAGAGTCGAGTAATATCCCGAAATTGCGTAGTAATTCCTAGACAGATGATGGCAAATCGAGAAAAATGTTTCCATACACACAAGAATAAGAACAATTATACTCGTTAATTAATTACCACCAAGAAATCGAACAGTTAAAGGAACACCATCTGTACTCAGGAAAATTTTAATATGAACAGAATTAAAATTTATGACATCTGTATGGTACAAGAAATGCAAAGATTATAAATATTCGAAAATATGTATAACTTAAAGATTGTAAAATTAGATAATCTGTTTGAAGATAAGAATTTTCTTCCTAGAACGAGAAAATTCTTTGACCAAGGAAGGCCTTTCTGCGGGCACCTTTCTGGCGGAGCATCGGTTAAAAAAAAAACTCTACATAAGGTGAAAGAAAATCCTGCTCCTCTGCACAGTAGCTCCTCGGCACAGAGATGCTCTCATCCTTATGAAGGTTATTTTCCTCAAGTCAAAACTGATCTTAACTAAGAAGTGGTCACCTTCCTACAGTGGCACTTTTATCAAAATTTCTGTCTCGGAGAATTAGCTGACTTGCATAAAGATACTGGCATCTTCGACTGCAGTAGCACAGCTAAAACTTTAGTCACCTGGAGCGATTCCTGAATTTGCCGCCCCTTTCTATATCTAAACAAATAATTTCAAAAAAAAAAAAAAAAAAAAAAAACACTGAAAGGTTTCAGATTTTAAATTACGTCCAAAGGGGAGTTTTTTTTAACATTTTGTCTGTTACCCTTATTTATTATATATCACTTTCTTCGCACTTAAACCATAAAATTAATAATGTAAATATGAGTTATTACATAACACAAATTAGTAAATCTAATAATTCGGAATGGTGGCATTTTAATTTGCTGAAATACATAAAAATGACACTTACTATTTTATTACCCAGATATCCATACGTCCTTAGTCCATAGAATGTGATGTATGCCGATGGATCTTTCACTGAAAAAATGTCAAAGCGTCTTTAAGACCTGGAGAAGAGAACAAAATGTATATACTGCTAACTTATCATATAATACTGTTACTATTACCAAACTCTATACTAATCCCCTTTTGCAAGAGAAAGAGCCATATGCAAGAAAATGAAAAATTGTCAATACGGCTTTCTTTTTTAGCCACTTAAATAAGACTAGTTTTTAAGTGAGAGGCATATTATTCTATTGATTACGATATGAAGTTATAGTAATATTATATTATACATATTACTTTATGAATTATAGTTATTACTATATGAAGTATAGTAATACTATATTATACATATTACTATATGACATATTATTTATATGAATAAATATAACTACGATTATACTTATTGCTTGTGAATTAGTACAGTAGAAGTCCATTATCCGGCATCCACAGTCCGAATCCCGATATTCGGCTCGCTCGGAAAATTGTAAAAATTTGGTTTCTCCCAAAAGGGTCTTTAAGCAAAAAAACCGCTCGATAGCTATTCGGAAGTTTTCGGGTAGTTCGAGATCATCCGGAGCGCTCGGTATTGTTCGAACAATTAGCGGCCGCTAGTCTCGCTGTCACAACAAATTCAGGGCAGTGCAGTCCGTTAATCAATCACGAGCGTCTTCGCCATTTTTTTGTGCGTTGTTGTTTGTGTCTTTCACATCACAGGTAAACGAACTTTTGAAACTGTTTATAAAAAATGATTTTCGTTCTAACGTACAGTGATATGTTTCAAACCTAAGCTTCGAGTTCAAAAGGAGAGAAAGAAAACACGTAACACTACTCAACAGAACTAGAATCATCAAACGGCTAGAAAGGCGAATGAAATTTTTAATAAATGAAAAAAAACCAATTTTAAAAAAACAAAAAATGACATGAAGTTTGATTCTCAATCGGTAACAACTGAAAATTGGTCTAGACAAACATAAAAAAACCAAATGGAACGCTAGTGTATTGTTCAAATGGTTTAGTGCAGTACGTTTGAAGGAAAGCCGGTAACAGGCCATATTGTTGAAAAGGCAAAGAAATTCGGCCAAGATTTAGGAGTTGCTGAAAGTGAATGTATTATCTGATGGTTGGCTCAAACTTAAGTTTCGGCATGGAATTCGAAGACTTATGAACTGGAGAACCCTTTCACAAACAAACTCGCGAAAAATAGTACAAAGCGAGTTTGAAAAATCGTGGCTGTAATGATTTAAACCTGACAGATTTCATACTGTATTTTTAGGTTAATTATTAACTAATTTTTTATAATTACCTCCCGAAGACCGGAATTTTCGGTAGTCCGCCACCGAGCCGGTTCCCGAACGTGCCGGATTATCGGACTTCTACTGTAATATTAATATGAAATATGGTAATTTTTTATTTAGGATTTCATTTTGAATTTATGTTTCAATTTTTGTGTTTATTTGTAGTACTTTGTTTGAATTTTTTAACTTTATATGACTATATTTAAAAGTTTATGTACCAGGGGTGGCTAAATTTTACACCTGTTGAAGAATTCAGGAATATTCAAGGTATGATGGAAATTCAGGAATACTCACGATACAATGCAGGAGCATTCAATAGCCGCAACTAGATTGTCTAACAGACCCAACTATAGTTTTATATCTTTATAAAAGTAACAAAATAGTTCTTTGCACAGTAAAAAGAAACGTACAAGTAAGAAACATCACATTTCTTTTATTTCAAGAGAATAAATTCCTTTGCTTTAAAAGTTTAAAACATTTCCGTGATATCCTTTCATCAAAGATAAAACAAGGTATTTTCTTTTAGTTTTCAAATTTCCTTCTCCCTCCCTTCTCAGAATATATCGGCCCACGAGCGGCCGAGCGGTAAAGTCTTTGAATACTGGTATTTCCGCCCAAGTTTCGAACTCCGCGAACGGGTTACCTGCATTGGCGTTTTCGTGGTTTTCCCCATGTGTGCCAGTTTCTCTTAGAACATTCTCCATGAACGCATTTCTGCCCTTAGACAGATAGCCCTCGACTGCTTTGCCATAATCAAATAAACCAAACCAACCAACCTTCTCGTTATAACTATCGACTGATTTTAATGGGAGTAGACAGAAAAATGCAAGAAGATGTAGAGGTTTTTGTACTAATTTTTTGCACTAAAGAAGATTTTCTTTCAACATGAGATAGCGATTTTTTGCTTTGGATAGAATAGTACAAAACGGAATGAATAGACCTGTACAGAAATTGCAGTTCGAGATTCAAATATTTTCTAAAAATAAAATAAACATTCAGCTTGTTAGAGTTTTTGTGTAAATATAATAATGCAAATTTTCTTCGCAACAAATACAAAGAGATCCGAGTATCAAAGTTATAATTAAATCCTTCAGTTATGTATTTCGTTTGATGAGAAGTGGTCATTGGATGTTTTAATTTTTTTACTGGTTATCATAATTTAAGGGAAAATCACAAAAATCACGATTACTGCAAAAATTACATATAGAATTTTATGAAACTTGCCCACAATATACAACAC